CGAATGGACCAGTATGGCAAGGCTGTGATGATCCACCTGGTAAAGTAAATCAGTTGGGCATCTTTCTTGACCTTCAGACAATAATTCTGATGGCTAAAGACGGGACAGGCAAAAAACCAAATTGATAAAACGTGTAAAAGGAAGAAGTCCAGCGATGAAACAGACAGCCTATCCTTCTTTCCTTCTTACACAAGAAATGTCTTGTAACTCACCAATCTCATGGACTCACACTTCCCTGAAGCATAACTTCTGCTCCCATAAACACCAATTTTCATCCCCCAAGAAAATCACACAAAAAAGCCCCCCCCCCCAAAAAAAAATAAAATTATGAATTATCTTGAATAAGTTGGCTGTTGATTTTCTTTACTCATTTCTGGTATTACAAGTATCTAGTCATCTTGGAATTTACCCAGATTTATTTATTTATTTATTTAGACAGCGATCTTGACACCTCCCCCCAATATTCAGCACAAAGTTACGCCGATGCACGAACTAATGTGTACACTTGTGTCTGCATTAATATTTTGTTAAATACGAACAAAATGATACCAGAAGCGCTGCCAAGTGTCTGCACAGACAGAGAGGCTTCAGTTAAGAGGGAAGAATCTGTGTTCACGTTTGTGGGTGTTTGTTTGTTTGTTTGTGTACTTGAACACTAAAGTGGCCCTCCAATGAGACGACAGTGCCAGCAGCGGCCCACAGCTCATTTGAGACCCTGATTTTAGACTTTATTTTTTCACTACACCAACAACTGATAAATATCTCATATAAACACGTTTCGAAAAATCTGAAACAACATCACAGCGATACTGGAAAAGCTGCATTACTGAAGGTGAGTAAAACATTTGGTTAAGGTTGATTAGCACAGTAGAAAATTGCATTTTTACAAATAAAAACAAAACAAATAAACAACAAAGAGTGTCGTAAAATTATTTGTTTTTCAAAATAAAACATTTTACTCTCCTCTGTCCTTCCGGCTCACATTTGTGGATATTTGAACTCACAAGTTAAATGTATATTCTGCAGCATCTCTATTCCGCGTAACTCTGCACTGAGCACGCGTGGGAACTCTTGATGTACATTAGATATAAACTCACATTATATATACCTAAGACTGCTTTATTATCCCCGATCCATTATTTCATTTTCATGTAAGGGCTCATAACGGCGCGGACGAGGCTTTGCAGAGTTTCAAAATAAAAGTACTTAAATTTCAGTCAATTTAGGGACAAAACTTGACCTGATAATCTAGATTTTTTTTTAATCTACAAGTAAAACACCTACTTTACATTTTTCATAATAATAATAATAATAATAATAATAATAATAATATATTGCCTGGTGTGCAATATAACCCCTTTAAGTCAAAAGTAACAGATTACAGTTATGTTGCAGTTCAGTGCAGCGAACTTCAGCGTTTTCTGCTCGTCACATCTTTTTGACTCTTTCCATGTTAGTTTCACTCCTGTAAGCTATTTGGTGGCGCAAACTAGAGCTTACAGGATATCACATTTTCAGTTTACTTTATTCTACTTATTCCAAAATCTAGAATGAAGGAGGAGTTGTCGATATGTATTAGTTGACTTACTTTAGAGCACTTGCTATTCAGTATTTTGTTAAAGGCAAACCAGGAAACCAGCTCGCCTGCATGATTTGACTTGAAACGGGAGAGGTTCTCTCTCTCTCTCTCTCTGTCTCCCGTTTAGCCTGCGTTGCTATGCTCGCCTAACTGGAGGCTTTTATTTTGAATTTAACTCTAACGACTGGGTGTTACTTACTATGATGAGCTTTACAGTAGTAATAGCTCCACTCGGTTGTCTTTGGAGAGCAGGACGCGCACTGACGGGATCATCATGGCACCGCTGGGACTAAAAGCCATCGTTGGAGAAAGTAAGATTTTTAATTCTTATTTAATTCTCATTTTTATTCTGATTGTTGTTGTAACGCGGGGCCGAGCTGCTCCTTACTTTTTATTAATGAAATGTTGGTGCGCTAAGACGCACGGGATCACTGGAGCAAAGCATCTGAAGTGTCGCAGGCAGTGAATTAATTGCACTATTCGCCGGTGTTCTGCTGAATTCTGCCGTTGTTGCCCGTTATTGTGTTGTCAGTGTGAAAGCATGGAGCCCAGGTCCGATGTAAATCCGGTCGCGCTAATCTTTGTGCGGATTAAATGCTTTGACATAATTCTCTGGGGAAGACCAGAGGTGGAGGAGGACAGATCCGACTCTGACTGCCTCAATAACCGAAGAAGCCTTAGTTTATACTGCCCTCACTATCACACACATGTTTTTTCCCCTCGTGCATTGATTCCACGGTAGTTGTATGCACAGTTTGGTAATTCCAGACTGTGCATACAACGGATTTTCGATTTGTGTTAGTTGCGCTTGATGAATCGCACCAGCGCATCTTTAGACTTGCAAAAACAGCACGTACCCAAACGGCTAAAGGGAGGTTCAGTGAACCTGGCGCCTTTACTAACTCATTGAGTAACCATATTAATTAAATTAGTTACAACCTATCAAGTCTTTGGATCGTGACTGTGCAAGTTATTGAAATAGTGTCACAATTTAAATACATGTTAGCAGTGACAGTACACGGTCTGATATTTACTCTGGACCAGTATAACAGCTCTCTGCAGATCATATTTCCATTTAAAGGCAGAGATTTGGGCTATTTAAAGGATGTTGAAGAAATTCATCAAACAAAATCCGACAGTTGCTGTCAAACAGTCGTGTTGTTTAGATTGTGATGGAAATGTGACAGCTATGCTGGAAAACAACTGAATATCAAGTGTTATTTAAAAACAAAATCACAAGGTAACAATCACTGCAAGAAGTGCGCAGAAAAATACTGATGCAATACTGTAAAGTACTTAAATCCTAAGAAAAGTCGTAGGATGAAAGCACAGGTGTAGGCGTCACAAAGACTCGTCCCTGCTCTCATGAGCATCTCCTGAGGATGTTTCATTCGGTGCTTATTCCATGTTTTAAACCTTGAAATCTATGCAGAGAATTAGACAGCTGTAAGCATGTAACGCTCACAGAGAAAATAATGGTAACATTGAGCTGCATAAATATTGTTGATTTCAGTTGATGGTTAATGCACAACATTGATGCTTCAACAGAAGGAAACAAAGTATTCACACTACAGTGCATTCATGCTCTCATCTGAGAGTGTGTCATTAGTCCAGAAACTTCCAGGTGAATCTGAGCAGTGAAGGGTCACATCAGGATGAACGATAGTGAGACTGTGATGTCAGAGGGAGTGTCCTACAGGTTATCTGTCTTATTCTGTCTGTGGACCAAAGTCATGACCATAGATGAGGGATTTAGTTTATGTTGCCCAAACATCCAAACGTTGTCTCTCATGAACACATTGTACAACATGATGACAGTGTTTGTCAGGAAACAGGAGGTTAAAATCCTGCGAATCCATGTGGATGGGAGAGCGAGAGCTGAAGCAACAGCCGACTGTGCTGCCCGTCAGGCGGTGCTCCGTTCTTCAGGCACTTACAGCTAATCCAGCGACTAATTGGATAAACAGGACTATTCACTGACTTCACTGTAGTGTGTCTGACAATAGCTTTCCTGACAGTAGCTTGGTCCACCTGACAAAGGTGTATCGGCTCATTGAGGTGTTGTGTAACAAATAATGTGCCTAAAACGATCATTTACAGCCTCACTGTGTGTCTGTCACTGCAATGTGCTCATGTCAGCTGAACAGCAGCTCTTCAAGCTTAATGACACCTTTGGGAGGATGATATGTAGACTTATTCTGGAGAGCAAGTGTTTGTGTTTATCAGTGTGTGTGTGTGTGTGTGTGCGCACTGATGCAGCCATGTATGCTGCTTTCCTGTGATGTCATGTCCGCTGACACAACCTAGAAATAGCTGTGGGCAGTAGGGAGTAGTGGATGGGTAAGAGGATTGGGAGCAGATTAGAGGCAACAATTGCAGTGGGCCTGTCTCTCTGTCTGTCTGTGCTCATTCTCACATCCTGCACATGTGCTTAAATCCCCAATAAGGGAAACCTTCACACATTTTAACAGAATATTGGGAAATACTAGATTTGCTCTGCTTAAAAAACAAGAAAAAAGAATGAACTGATATCTTTTAGAAATGTCTCTTTGTGTTACTCTCTGTGAAAACAGTATTTTTCCCTTCCTAGTTCTCTAGTTTTTCTTCATAACGAAATGTTTTAAATTGTCAAACATTAGATTTTAATATCAGACAAAAACAAACTGAGCAAAGAAGAAAACGAAACTTTAACAGAACCTGAATCCAAAGATTAACAAACATACAAAACTAGAAAGACTATTGAACTCAAACCCGGGGACGACAGCTGAGCCAGAAGCTTGGACACGCATGATTCACCAAACGTAACCAGTCGTTCTTCAGCTGTTGGACCGCCCGTATTGTTGATCTGCAAATATGGAAATAACTTTGAAGTCTAATCAGTGTATTGTTCATACATGTTGCAGTGCTGTTATTTTCTATTTTGTGGTTAAATTGTTATAATTTTAGACACAAGCTCTGAAAAGGATTTATGTTACAAATCTGACGTCCACACAGCCAAACACGTAAAATCACTGACGTCAGTTCAGCGCTCACATTTCTGTCTCCTGAGCTGTGACCATTTTGAAAGTTCAAACCTGATTCAAACAGATTCACTGTTATGCATCTATCAGCGTGAGTGTTTGCATGATAATCAAAATGCTGTTTTATGGCTTGGAGCAAAACGTGCTTTGACTGCTCAGAGTTGAAAAGTCCAATAAAAGTATCCAAAGCACATTAACCAATCAGGTGAGGGGACAGGTGGCTGCACACATGTCAGCAGCATCCTCGTAGTGAATGCAGTGAAATAATAAGTCTGATGTCAAATGAATAGTTTCTGATTTATACCTGATACAAGAGTATTAAAAATCTTCTGACGAGAGCAAAATAAAAGCATCTGTGATGCCTGAATGTAACTAAAGTTCAGCATTGAATGGCTCCTCGCATTATTGCTGAGGTGGCAGCAGCACGTCTGTGACCATGTTTGTGTGTTTCTCAAAGATGAGATTAGAGTGGAAAATTACCCCCAACTGATTTTACATGTACACATAAAAGACCTGTAGAGGACTTGATGCCCGATGCAGCTTTTCTGAACCAATAATAACAGTTTTTGTTTCATCTTAGTTTAACTTCAGCACATTTGCACACATCTGTTAGACAGTGTAGAAAGTGGGAAAGGTTAGCTCAATCAGTGGCTCTCACTGGATGCAGAGCTGCCACCAGTACAGCAGCCTTATTCAATTCAGTTCAATTCAATTTTATTTATATAGCGCCAAATCACAACAAAAGTCGCCTCAAGGCGCTTCATAGATACAGAGAAAAACCCAACAATCATATGACCCCCTATGAGCAGCACTTTGGCGACAGTGGGAAGGAAAAACTCCCTTTTAACAGGAAGAAACCTCCAGCAGAACCAGGCTCAGGGAGGGGCGGGGCCATCTGCTGTGATTGGTTGGAGTGAGAGAAGGAAGACAGGATAAAGACATGCTGTGGAAGAGAGACAGAGGTTAATAACAGATATGATTCAATGCAGAGAGGTCTGTTAACACATAGTGAGTGAGAAAGGTGACTGGAAAGGAAAAACTCAATGCATCATGGGAATCCCCAGCAGCCTACGTCTATTGCAGCATAACTAAGGGAGGATTCAGGGTCACCTGGTCCAGCCCTAACTATATGCTTTAGCAAAAAGGAAAGTTTGAAGCCTAATCTTGAAAGTAGAGATAGTGTCTGTCTCCTGAATCCAAACTGGAAGCTGGTTCCACAGAAGAGGGGCCTGAAAACTGAAGGCTCTGCCTCCCATTCTACTTTTAAATACTCTAGGAACATATTAAATGTCATATGCCAGTATACTGTGACCTATGGTAGCATATACAGTATAGACCTCTGGGGGACTCCGCTGCAGAATATGGAAAAACATACAAAATATGATTTAAACGACTGCAGAGCTGTCGTAGATATACCGACCCAGTGCTACAGCATAAATAGAATAAAATATACAATAGGATAAAAATAGAATATAAATTCTATATACAACTGAGTAAAAATACAACTTTTATAGCGATGTGGACTGTAATCGTAGCAGTTAGAAGAATCTGAGAATCAAGGATGAAAACATCACAGAGAAGTTTTGGGAAAATATTATCAATAAAACAATCAAGAGTTAGAACTTTTCATTTGATTTGATTCATTTTATTCTTTAAAAAAGTTTAGAAACTTGAATCTTAATGTGATCATCAAAGCTTTCATCTCTTGGTGATGTATGTGATGATGATTCATCTTCATCCATCTAGTCTGCAGGATTGTCTTTATTGATCCAGGCCACCAACAAGCAGCACATGTCTGCTTTACCTTAAAAGCTGCAGGAACCTGGAGTGGACATGCAAAGAAGGTTAAAATAATTCTCTAGTCGTTCCTGAGATAGAAGCAACATTTGTGAAAATGTTTCTCACTGAGAAAGCTCCCGCTTGTTTACTTGGAAACATGATATCAAATAAAATACTGAATTGTTCTGATACAAATAAATAAATTTAATATGAGCTCATTAACACTGAAGAATGTCCACAGTTATGTGTAAGCCCAGTAACATGCTTTATAAAATCATGTTAATTTATTATACCGAGGAGCTGTGAGACAAATCATTCTGAGTGTCAACATTAAGATTAAAATCCTGATCAATCACGCCGGCAGCTGCTAAAATAAAACCAATTCTGCCACAGCAGCAGCTTTGAGACAGTGACCCAGGCCTTTGTTAGCACTCAGCTGGATTACTGTGCTTCATAAAGGGGTCAGTGCTTCACAGGTTACTCGTCTACAGAGGAGGCAAAACGCTGCAGCT